CACAGGGCAGCACAGCTCACAGCATTTCTCTCGCCCCTCACCCTCCATCTTCCCCACAGGGCAGCACAGCTCACAGCATTTCTCTCGCCCCTCACCCTCCATCTTCCCCACAGGGCAGCACAGCTCACAGCATTTCTCTCGCCCCTCACCCTCCATCTTCCCCACAGGGCAGCACAGCTCACAGCATTTCTCTCGCCCCTCACTCTCCATTGGTCCCCCCACAGGGCAGCACAGCTCACGGAGTTCCTCACCAGAGTGGAAAAGCTTCCGGCGCAGGTACCTTGCCTCTGTGCCTCGCCACGGCGCTCTGCTAGTGGTCTTTGCCGCTTTGCTAGTGTTTGTTCATAACAGGCCCAGTAAATGCTGTACTCCCTTCATATCTGCTGTGCTCCTGCCCACATATCTTCACGAGTCTATATTGGATACTGTTTCCAAACCTTAAACCCTCAAAAGCTGCACACGCTCACGCCTTCCCACCTCACGCCCTACCCCCACGCCCTACTCTCTCGCCCTAACCATTCCTGCCCTACGCCCGCACACTCTACCCCTCCTCAATCTGATTCATGACCCCCCTAACCCCACTCCCACCAGCTACCATCACCACCAGGTCGCATCTCTGCCTGTGGGCGACGTCCTCTGGGTGGCTCAGCCCCTCACCTCACCCACCCTCACCCTCACCCTCATTCACTGCACCTCCCTCCACCCTTTTCTAAAAGTTCTCAAAAGCCCCATCCCTCTCCTTCTTGGCTCCTGCCTGCTGCCATCACCATCAGGCCGCAGCACTGCCTGTGTGAGATGTCTTTTAGGTGGCTCAGCCCCTCGCCCTTCCAACACACCCTCTTTCCCATCCACTCCTTTTCGGATTTCTCAGAAGCCCCCTCCCTCCCTTCCCCGCTCCCGAATGCCACCATCAGGTCGCAGCACTGCCTGTGGGCGATGCCCTCTGGGTGGCTCAGCCCCTCACTCCTCCCACCTCATCCGCCACACCTCCCTCCACCTCCTCTTCCTCCTCCTGTCCTCCCTCTTCCATCCCTCCATCCTCCTCCTCTGCTGTCCCCCCATCCGCTCTCCCTGCTGCTTCCGCGTCTCCTGCACTGCCCGGCGCGCTGTTCTGCTTGGAGTGGGTGGCGGAGCGCAAGAGAGTGGACGATTTGTGGCAGTCAATCAAGTCAAAGCGATTCAAGGACCAGAAGCTGAGGATCAAGGTGGGTTGACTTGGAAGAGACCGGAAGCAGAGGATCAAGGTGGGTACGCCTTACAGTTATGAGGTGTGGAGAGCGAGGGAGGGAGGGACAGGGTGCGTGCCTGCAAGTGAGCATGTGTGTGAGAGAAAGCATGTGTGTGAGAGCAAGCATGTGTGTGAGAGCAAGCATGTGTGCGAGAGCAAGCATGTGTGTGAGAGCAAGCATGTGTGTGAGAGCAAGCATGTGTGTGAGAGCAAGCATGTGTGTGAGAGCAAGCATGTGTGTGAGAGCAAGCATGTGTGTGAGAGCAAGCATGTGTGTGAGAGCAAGCATGTGTGTGAGAGCAAGCATGTGTGTGAGAGCAAGCATGTGTGTGAGAGCAAGCATGTGTGCGAGAGCAAGCATGTGTGCGAGAGCAAGCATGTGTGCGAGAGCAAGCATGTGTGCGAGAGCAAGCATGTGTGCGAGAGCAAGCATGTGTGCGAGAGCAAGCATGTGTGCGAGAGCAAGCATGTGTGCGAGAGCAAGCATGTGTGTGAGAGCAAGCATGTGTGCGAGAGCAAGCATGTGTGTGAGAGCAAGCATGTGTGCGAGAGCAAGCATGTGTGTGAGAGCAAGCATGTGTGGGATCAGTAGTTAGTCAATCTGCCAAAGCGACTTGAGAAGCCTTCGAAACCACGTCCCATCCTCCCTGCTCACTATTTTCTGTCCCGTCTCATCTCAGCACTGCAGCCTTCTTTTGCTCGTACCTGATGTTTCCTTCTCTATTTTCCCTTGCACCTTTCTCCCCATCCCTATCCCCGTCTCAGCACTGCGGTCTTCGCCGCCCAATCTACGTGGTGGAGGGCAATATGGACGCCAGCAACGGCGCGGAGAGCCTGCGCACGGCGTATGTTGTCTCTTTCTCCATCTCGTTTCCATTACCTTTTGTGTGTCAGGTCACCTTTTGTATTCCCGAGTGGCAGAGTGAGGTGAATGAGAGCAATTAAGAGGAGTGGAGGCAGTTAGTTTGCATTTGTGGCGGACTGTCGCCTCATGCTCTCATTGCATGCAGTTCAGTTCAGTGTGGGTGGATTAAAACGTGAACCACACCACATCCACCACACACGATGCGTTTCCCTCCCTTTCACTTCCCTTGCCCTCCCTCCTTTCCTGTTCCTTCCTTTGCCCTCCTCCCAGCTCATCTCATGCATTGCCCACACTCCCTGTTTTTCCTTTCCTCTATCTCTCCCACCCCCTCCTCCCTTTGCCACACCACCAGGTCCGTCCAAACACTGAATGCGTGATGGCTTCGACGTGCTTCACACTATGTGCATCGCGCCCACTCTCTCCTATCATTGTGTCTCATTACCTTTGCCCCTCCACCCACACCACCAGGTCCATCAAAACGCTTGTGCATGTGCTTGACGGCTTTGATGTGCATTACACCACGTGCATCGCAACCCACTCTCTCCTATCGTCATGCCTCATTATCTTCGCCCCTTCACTTCACCCATACCACCCACACCACCAGGTCCGTCCAGACTCTAGTGCACGATGGCTTTGACGTGCATCACACCACGTGCATCGCACACACGCGTCGCCACTACGCCCACCTCACTCGCGCCATCGCTGATATCTGCAACGGCCTCTCCTCCGCCCCTTGTCACCCACCTTCCACACTCCATGCCTCGTCCTCCTCCCCCCCGCCTCGCGACTTCTGCGTCACTTTTGATCAATTTCTGGATGCCTGTCGCTCCTCACAGGCTCTCTCAGTGGGGGATGTCTTTGGTCACATGCTGCTGCAGGTGAGTTTTGAGGCACCTCAAAGGTACATTGCTGTTATATGCTGCTGCAGGTGAGTTTTGAGGCGCCTCAAAGGTACATTGCTGTTATATGCTGCTGCAGGTGAGTTGCTGTAGGTGCTCTTGCAACTTGGTGATTTGTGAGTTGACTCAAATGCCATCTCATAGGCTCTCGCGAGTGGGCTTTAAGTTGATTTAAAACGTCTTGCAGCTTGTTTTTGCATTGCTCAAGAAGAAAGTATCACGTGGGTGCACACACACACCTGCACTGTACACATCTGCACACAACTGCACACATTCCCTCTTTCTCCTCATTCCCCGCGTTCCCCTCTTTTTTTGCGCTATCTTCCCCGCATGCGATCAGGTGCGCGGCCTCACAGTGGACATGGCTACGGCCATCCTCCGCCGCTACCCCTCCCTGCCCTCCCTCCACGCTGCCTACACCTTTCTCGTGCGTCCGCCGTTCCCTTCCCTTGCCTGCTTCACGATTCCCTATTTGACTACCCGGCTACAGTAACATCAAACCCAAAATGCGCTTTGTACAGTTGCGTATCTTCTCCTTGTTCCTGTACAGTCACATTTCCCCACTCTCCACCCTTTGGAATAGATTAAGGCATGTGTCTATATCCTGAGACACCCTCCTCAGGTCATCCTGTACTCACCATCTTACCCACTCCCCCCTCGCCTGCCACCATCTAACTCACCTGCACTCACCTGCACTCTCCTGCACTCACCTCACCTGCACTCACCTGCACTCACCTGCACTCACCTGCTCTCACCTGCACTCACCTGCACTCTCCTGCACTCACCTCACCTGCACTCACCTGCACTCTCCTACACTCCTGCACTCACCTGCACTCACCTGCACTCTCCTGCCCCCACCTCCACTCACCTGCACTATCCTGCACTCACTTGCACTCACCTGCACTCACCTGCACTCTCCTGCCCCCACTGCACTCTCCTGCGCTCTCCTGCCCCCACCTGCAACTCTCTCTTCTCCGCTCTCTGTCTCAACCTCTCTCCCTCCCGCTCACCTCCCTGTCTCACCGTTCCCTCCCGCTCACCTCCCTGTGTCACCCTTTCTCCCTCTCCCTAATCTCTCTTTCTCACCTGCATGGGCAGGAGGGAAACCGGGAGGCACAGGAACGACTGCTGTGTGGTGTGCATGTGAAGGGAAAGGCTGTTGGTGCTGCCATCAGTAAGCGGGTTTATGAGCACTTATGTACACCAACCTAAATTCAAGCACCTATATTATCTGTACCGTACTATGGTATCTGAAACTTACAGTTATGTAATGCCATGTTACGTGTGCCAATAGACAGCTAATAGAATGTTACCGTATAGCTGGCTGCGAAGTTGACCAAGTGGTTCCAAGAACACAATACCATCATGGCTGAAATTGAAAAACGAAATGAAGAAAACATATATGTATTGTTCAGACTGTATAACAGCCGCCCTAGCCCAGTTGGTAGAGCGCAAGGCTCTTAACCTTGTGGTCGTGGGTTCGAGCCCCACGGGCGGCGTCAATGACGTTGTTTGTGTGCAAGGCACCACCCATATCGAGCTGGTTTATTTTGCCCGATATGACTATCAACCCCGTAAATAATTTCCCTACCACATTTTTTGGGGGTTGGGCAAGGAGCAGGCCCTCGGATTCGTTTTGGGGTACGCTGAGCACTTAGGGTCCCTTGGAGTGTAACACTGATCTTTAGTGTCGCCAGCTTAGAAACACCGTTTTTCCAGGGTCGTCTTATAAATAGCGTTGTTCACACAGTGTGCCTTAAAAAAAATACTGATCATCATCATCGCTATCATCGCTATCATCGCTATCATCGCTATCATCGCCATCATCGCTATCATCGCCATCATCGCTATCATCGCCATCATCGCTATCATCGCTATCATCGCTATCATCGCAATCATCGCAATCATCGCAATCATCGCAATCATCGCAATCATCGCAATCATCGCTATCATCGCTATCATCGCTATCATCGCTATCATCGCTATCATCGCTATCATCGCTATCATCGCTCAAAGTCATGTGCATGGGGGTCTCTGTCCCCCTTGAGCCAGATACTAGATACATGTCATCATCGTCCTCTACCTTCTCTTTCCCTTTTGCACTTGGTGGCTTCTTGGCTGCTGCAACTGTTGTGAAGGGCGTGCGTTTCTTCTAAGCTCTCCAGATCTTCACCACCTCCTCCCAGTCGGGCTCATACTGCAGCAAGGCCATGCACATAAGGTCCAGATCCTTGAGGGCACCTCTCACCCAACTCTTGATCACGTTTTGACGCGAGAAACCCCGTTCGCACTCAACTGTGCTCAACGGCAGCACAGCGACAGCCGCCAACAGCTTCACCAGGTTGGGATACGCGACCTCCCAGTCGGACGACTTTAGCATGGCCGTGAGACCCGGGTAGAACTTCCTCTCGGACTTCGGAGCTTCAGCGAGAACTTTGCAGAACGAACTGAACTCCTTAACCCCCTTCTGTTTGTTGACACCTGCAGTGCGGGGAGAGTGCACATACAGGGTGAACCAACAAAGTAAGCGTTGATTGATCTATATGCCAGAAGTGAGTTGCTACATACCAAACCACACACAGTCAAAGAACCACAGTGCGTACGGCGACACTAACCTGGTACGATCTCGTCGGTCTCATGGGCCTTGAAGAGCGTGATCAATGACTCGAGATGCTCCGTGCACACGACAGTTCGCTCTTGTCGTCCTAGCGGCCACGAGTTTGGCATGAAGAGCTTTTCACCAATCAGCGTGTCAAGGGAACCAAGCCGCTCAGTCAAATGATGCACGAGGGACCCCGCCATTGCCGTGCACAGGTCCACGCAACGGTCATGAGTCCCTGCAGTGGGGAAGCCTTCAAGGGGGGAGTCATGCAAGACATAACAGTGTGAAGTGGGGCGAGCGTCGAAATCAATCCCCTCGACTTCCACTCTCCGCACCCCTGCCCGTCCATGTCGGGCAAGGAAGGGCGACAATTTCTCGCTGAGGCCGCCACCGAAAACGTCGCCACAATCTACATAACGCGAGTTGATGTGGGATGCTGTGCGACGGATCTGGCCCTGAATTGCCACCAGGTCAATCTGCCACACGTAACAGCACAAGAGAACATAGTGATGATGAGATGAACACGTGGATCGGCAAGCACAATACATAGATCATGTATCAATTGTCAGAACTAGCAGTAGAAAGTAAGAATGAAGAAAGGAGGAGGTTCACTAGCAAGCAGTTGAGTACATATAGGAAACCCTAGATTGGGCTGTACTCGCTATAGAGTACCCCACTGCAGGCTAGACAAATACAACATTCTGACACACCCCCATAGCCAAAGTGGGGTGTAATCAGCACAATGAGCAGGTATAGCAGGAGTTCACAATAAGAAGCAAAGCTAGAGGTAATCACAGCGGGCAAGTGAGGAGGAGGAGGGACTGTGAGAGGAGAGAAGATGAGAGACGGCGGCTGAAGCTGCAGACACACGGGCAACAGGAGCTGCTGGCACAGTGGCTACCGGGACAGTGCGCCCCGGACTACTGGAGTAACTGGCTCACGGGCTACGACGAGCTACAGGAGCAACGGACCCTCGGGCGACAGGCGCAGCAGACTCTCTGGGCTACCAGGACAGTGCGCCCCGGACTACAGGTGCTGCGGACGACAAGACAGCAGCCTCCGCTCAACCTCCTCCAACTGTCCCACACACCCCCCACACACCCACTGCTTCACTCCTAACTCCACTTGCACGTCACCCCCCAGTACCACTCCTTCGGCTCCCACACACCCACCCCCCTCAGCGGCAGCTGCAGCACTGGGAGACGGAGGAGGAGGAGGAGGAGTAGGGGACGACGCACAGAAACTGCACCCCCATACCCCCCACCCCCAAACCCTAATTCAGGAGAACGGGCAGCAGCAGGGGTGGGGCGCCGTCAGAAGCACGGGGGACAGCGGGCAGCGCAGGGGCAGAGAAAACAGGGCGCCCACGGGCCTGGCGCAGCCCGTACGAACCGCGTGCGGGCGGCCCGAGGCGCGCCCTGGCCTGGCGCAGTCCGTACGGGCCGCGCGCGGGCCTGGCGCTGCCCGTACGGGCCGCGCGCGGGCCTGGCGCTGCCCGTACGGGCCGCGCGCGGGCCTGGCGCAGCCCGTACGGGCCGCGCGCGGGCCTGGCGCAGCCCGTACGGACCGCGCGCAGGCTGTACGGGCCGCGCGCGGGCCCTACGCAGGTCGCGCAGGCCGCGACGGGCGACGGGGGGCGACGCGCGGGTCCCCGTCGCCCGTCGCAGCGCCTCCCGGGAGCGACGCGCGGAGTGACGGGGCAGAAAGCCGCCGCGCGCCTCGGGGCGCACGGCGGGCAGAAAACCGCCGCGCGCCTCGGGGTGCACGGCGGCCAGAAAACCGCCGCGCGCCTCGGGGCGCACGGCGGGCAGAAAACCGCCGCACGCTCCGAGCGCGCGGCGGGATGAAAAATCCGTCGCACGCCACGGGGCGTGCAACACACAGAGTAGCAGTAGCAGCGGAAGCAGTGAGGTGGTGGGCCCACCCACAGGATCGACCCAAGGGGATCGACCTGCTCTGATAGCATGTCAGAAATAGCAGTAGAAAGTAAGAATGAAGAAAGGAGGAGGTTCACTCGGTGTAATACGTGCCGTAGCACCTTTTGGGGAAGCCACGGACGTCGTTCTTCGCCATGTACCGCACCAAGCGCACCCACGTCTCCATCGGCAGGCAGTTCTGGGTCGAGAAGAGCAAGGAGTCGAGGAGGGCGATGATGCGGGCCTTCTCGTCATCCCTGGCGAGCGGATGCTCGTCGATCCTCGGCTGCTTCCCAGCCTGAGCTAGCAGCTTCTCTTGGTGCTCGATGGCCAACCTGTGTTTGTTGGTCGCTGCATGCCGCCTGAAGGCTTGTGTCTGAAGATCCGTTGCTCCGTGCCCACCCCTGCCACACTTGCCACTGTCACCAGCAAACTCCATGCACAAACTGCATCTGAACGCAGGTAGGCCAGCAGAGTTTTTGATTAGTACAAGCCATGGGAAGTCTTTAGACCAACTGTGCTTCAACGTGTCCAAAGCATCCTCGTAAATCATCGAGGTAAGTGACTGCTTTCGCGACTTTGATGTAGTGTCCGTAGCGAGGTTTACCGACTCGCCACCATCGACGAGAGGACAGCCAGGGGCTGTTGGATCGGCCCAACGCAGCACGGCCTACTTGTAACGGGCTGGAGGCTACGATGTCAAGGCACGAGATGGCAAGCGGACGGACGGGGCAGCTGGTGACGGCGTGACTGGTTTTGCAGTAATCGGAGGCTCGAGCCGATTGTCTGCGCCGCAGATGTCGGACGCTTCGGCAATGTTTTTACGAGAACAGCGGGGAGCTTCTTTCTCTTGTTCTCGTTCTCACTGGTGTTCGCCATGGATCGTTCACGGCATTAACGAGAAAAGCA